TTGAGAGCATCCTATTACCTGTAGTAGCAGGCAAGTTCATATTTTTTTTAAAGCCTCAGGCAGTAGCATCAGCAGACTTTTTTTCTTCCTTATTTTCCAATCCAAAAGCGTCTAATTTCTTTCTGTCAAAGAGCTTCCATTTTGGTTCTGAGCAGGTCTTCAGGGACCCTTACTGATAGGACCACATTTTGGAGCACCTCTTGTAAATTATATTTACCATTAATGCCAGGAGGCACCTTGCTGTATAGAAGGAGCATGGGCTGCCAATTGACGTACAATCAGTATTCTGTGTTTGGGAGGTAGGTCTCTGGCTCACATTCAGATTCTGGATCCATTAGGTACCTGGAATTTTCTGACACTGGAACAATTCTTGGGCTTCACAGTATACGGAAAGAACTCCTTGCTTTGGTTTTTAAGAGGACCAGTTGCATACTGTTCTGAATGTCCATGCTCACACACAGCCTGAGGTCCTTCTGTCTTACCTGGCAGCATTCTCATGAGTGTGGATTTCTCATGCTTGCCCTTGGCTACACTGGAGAGCTGTCTCAGTAAATCTGCTGGTTCAGGATTGCCAGGTATTCATACAAAACTAACCTTCATCCTTTCAATGATGAAGTGTTCCCTTTGAGCATAGTGAATCAATTTTCCTGTTCAAACATTTGCCACTTATTTATTAACAAGTATTCATTGAGTTCTCACTATCTATAAGAGACTGTGCTGTGGTTGTACAGGAGAAAATACTGACAAATTATCTATTATTCAAAGAAGTTTATAATCCGGAAAGGAAGGACAAGTTGAGCACTTTCATGTGTGGTGGGGTAAAGGCAAGGGTAGTTTTATATTTGGTCTTTTTGTTTTTCTGCCAACTTGTGTTAGTTGCTTTTATCACTATGACCAAAATAATGGACTTACAACTTACAGTAATGAACAAAAATCTTAGTCAGCATCATGCTGGGGAAGGTGTGGCAGTGGGAGCATCTGGATCAGAAGGCAAGAGAGGGTAGCTGGAACCAAGGACAGGGTCGCCTTCAAAGGCTGACCCCATAGTGACTCAGCTACGCATCACCGCCTAAGGCATGGTAGCTTTAAAAACAGCACCCAGGCTGGGGACCTAGTGTCTGAAATATGGACTATAATATCTGGAGAGAGAGAAAATGACCAAATTCTTGGAAGTCTGAACACCAGTACCTTTTAGGAGAAGCAAAACAAGAAGTATAAAGCAACATCAAAGGGGATGATGGGAAATAAGGAAATCTTAACCCTTTCCCACAATTATCCACCGGAGTTTTTGCCTTGTCTTTCTTTCCTTTTTTTGTGCATATTTTTCTTTTATTGAAAACCGATTCTTTTCTCACATAATATATCCTATTGTAGTTTCCCTCCCTTTACTCCTCCCAACCTCCCCTCCCCTCTGATTTACTCCATCTCTGTCTCCCATTAGCAGAGAAAGAGTTCTAAAAGATAACAAAATAAAATACAGTAAAATGAAGCAAAAACTATCATGTCATAATTGAACATGGTAACCCAACAGGAGGAAAAGAGTCCTAAGAGTAGGCAAAGGAGAAAGAGACCACTTGTTCTCACTGTCAGGGGTTCCATAAAAACACTACTAGCTGTAACACATACGGAGGACCTGGTGCAGACCAAGCCAGGCCTGTGCTTGGGGCTCCAGTCTCAGTGGGTTCATCTGAGCCTTACTTAGTTGAATCAGAGGGCCTTGTTCCCCTGGTGTCGTCTGCCCACCCCCACCTACTCTTTTGGCCTCCTCTTCCAAAGGATTCCCTGAGCTCTGGGGAGAGGGATTTAATGGAGACCTCCAGTTTAGTCTGTCTTTCCACGTGATTTCAGGCTGTGGGTCCCGTATCTGTTCCCATCTGCTGCTGGAGGAAACCTCTCTGATTATGACTGGATAAAGCACCGGCTGATCCATGAGTTAGCAGAATATTATTAGGAATCATTTGGTTAATTTTTTCTTTTTCTTTCTTTCTTTTTTGAACAGTTGTGTTTAGTTTTACCCTAAGTCTCTGGGCTATCTAGTCTCTGGTTCTTCATTACCCAAATAGTGTTGGATGTAGGTTCCTTCTTGTGGAGTGAGCCTGAGTTCCAATCAGGCTCCTCCCACGCGTTCCTTGCCACCATTACTGTAGCATATCATGCAAGCAGGACAGATTGTAGGTCGGAGGTTCTGTGTCTCGGTTGGTGTCCATGTTTTTTCTTTTTGTAGCCTGCAGAATATCTTCCTGCACCAAAGAGACCTAGAATGTAGAGGTGAAGGCTCTATGTAGGTACGAGCTGGACTTCTACATGCTCAGTGAGTTGTGTGGGTGCAGCAGTAATGGGGCCCTGCTGTCAGTTTTTTTGGGGGGGCAGCCTCTTGTCTTAGCATCAGTCTGGGTTTGGGGGGGATTCCCATGGGGCTCCCTTGGCCAACAACTTAATTAAGTGCACCCTGGTCCCACTACTGCAAACTTTGCCTGTGGACAAGAGATGACAGTTGAGACTCTGTAGTCCTCATTATTAGGAGCCCTTATTAGGACCTCCTCCATAAGTTCAGGAAGTCTCCACCCCAAATACCCCCTTCATTCTCTTCACCCCATCTCTCACTCCTATCTCAGCCTGCCCCAAGTCTACCCACAAAATCCATTCTAATTCCCCGTCCCAAGGAGATCCCTGCATCCCACCCCCAGACTCATTTATTCAGCCTCTCCTGGTTATCATTACTTAATGGATAATATGCCTTATAAGTGAGTACATAGCATATTTATCTTTCTGGGTCTGGGTTACCTCACTCAGAATGACTTTTCTTAGTTCTGTCCATTTGTCTGCAAATTTCCTGTCATTTTTTAACAGCTGAGTAGTACTCCATTGTGTAAATGTTCCAAATTTCTTTATCTGTCCTTCTGTTGAGGGACATCTAGGTTGTTTCCAGTTTCTGGCCATTATGATAAAGCCTCAATGAACATAGTTGAGCAAGTGTCCTTGTGGTAGGATGGGACATCCTTTGGTACATGCCCAAGAGTGGAATAGCTGGGTCTTGAGGTAGATGATTGATTCCCAATTTTCTGAGGAACCGCCATCATTGATTTTTTTCAGAGTGGATGTGTGAGTTTGTGCTTCTCCCAGCAGTGGAGGAGTGTTCCCCTTACCCCACATCCTCTCCAGCATGAGCTTGTGTTATTGATCTTAGCCACTTGTCAGGTGTCAGATTCAATCTCAAAGTAGTTTTGCTTTGCATTTCCCTGATGGCTAAGGAGGTTGGACATTTCTTGAAGTATTTCTCAGCCATTTACGATTCCTCTAGTGAGAATTCTGTTTAGATGTATACCCCATTTTTAAATTGGATTATTTGGGTTTTGTTTTTTTATATTTAATTTCTTGAGTTCTTTATATATTTTGGATATTGGCCCCCATAGTGTTTGTGTTTGAGTTGCTAATGTTGGAATGATTTGATTCAGGGAGAAAAACAGCACTTATTCAAAAGTGTTGGGTGGCAGAGGGGGAAGATTGCATAACTCCCCTGGTAGCTGTGCAGCCTTACACAGCATGTGGGGCCTGAATCTGGCTGCCAGAGCCACTTGAGGACCAGACCTAATAACAGATCAATGCCCCTCAACTCTACTAATGTGTGCTTTTGAGGTACTGGATCCATTATAATTTTCATGGAACACCATTCCTAGCTTTCGGGTCATTCTGGGGGTATTGTGTAGATTGATTGATTTTTATTTCTTCTTATTCATCCCGAATTATCAGTATTTGCCTTGAAATTACATTCAAAGTACCAAGTTCCAGGTCTGCAATGTTGTAGGGGTGGTCAGAGATATATGTAAAGTAATCCAGGAACCCCCTTTCCCCCCCTTTTTTTTCCTTTAAAATTCTTCAGTTATTTTCTTAGCAATACCAACTGTGTAAGTGCAGGGTGTTGAAGACTGACCTCTGCAGGAAATCAGAGCCATTTATTTTAATGTTCTCTGACTACACATCTTGAAGAGCTTTGTGTTAAACACATGATTGTATTCTTTTTCTTTTTAGACAAATTCTTTTGTAAATGTTTTATTTTATGCTTATTGGTGTTTTGTCTGTGTGTGTGTCTGTGTGAAGGTGTCAGATTACCTGGAACTGGCGGTACAGACAGTTGTGAGCTGCAGTGTGGGTGCTGGGAATAGAACCCGGGTCCTCTGGAAGAGCAGCCAGTGCTCTTAACCACCGAACCATCTCTCCAGCTGCATGATTGTATTCTGGTAGAAGGTTTTCACTCTTGGAACCCAAATTTTTGCCTCTTATTTCCATTTGTGATGTAATAGAGTATCTGACAGAGATATAAAAAAATTAGGGAACTTGGATAAAATGGTAGCAGAAGCAGCCAAACATCAAATTTACCTTTGGCAAATTACCTGAGTAATGTCTTTGGATAATAAAAACCCAAGACATGTATATTAGTTTGCTATGGTTGCCTAATAGCTTAACACACCATCAATAGTTATCATACTATTTTATGGGCTGAATTTCAAGGGTTGACAAGGCCTTTTGTTCCTCTGGAGGCTCTAAGGGGAGAAGCTACTTCCAGCTTCACAAGGGTGTCAGCACTCCTGGGCTCACAGCCCTTTCCTTCTTTAAAGCCAGCAAGTGACCACCCTCCCAGAGTCACATGTATTCTGACCTTAACCAGAAAGGCTGCTCTGCCCTAAAAGACCTAAATTAATCTGCACTTTCCTGTTGCCATGTGGAGTCACAGATCCTCAGGTTCTGGAGATGGGCTGTAGGTGTTTCAGGGGTCTAGGGCGTTCTTCTACCCACCAGCATGTGGAAACAGCTGACACAAGCCTTCAGTCACAGAATGTATTTCCCTAATGCACTCCATATGTTCCTGATTTGCTATCGGGTCTTTAAGAAATCTTGATTTAAGCTTACCCCCCCCCCTTTTTTTTAAGAACTCACCCATTCTGTTTGGGTCTTAATCTCTAGGAATGCTAATGCTGGTTCTCTTTTGTTTGCTTTGATAGTGATAACCTGCTAAGAAGAGCAGCCTGTCAAGAAGCTCAGGTAATGCCATTTCCTGTGATAAAATTAAATCACCCCTTATCTCCATGGTGCAGGAGACACAGCCACTCCAGGGACTCACATGGGGTCTTGCATCAGTGCAGTTTGACTCTTTTCCTCCACCTCCAGATGGATTAGGCTGTCAGCCAATTCTGAGTAGAATGGGTGGAAGTTAGCCATCTGGTGAAGAACAGTTCTGACGCCCACCCTTTTAGACTTGTTTACTTCTGGATCACTCCCAAGAACACATAACTGGACTGGCTGAAGAGCTGGGAGTTGGCGCATGTTTGCAGTTATCCTTGAAGATCTGGCTAAACCCTCATTCCTGATTGAATTGCCCCCAGGGATAATGGTTCAGAGCAGATGTTACCTCGGAAAGTCAAATCTTGTTAAAATTGTTGACTCCTACTTTTAAAGCCCATCTCCCTAACATGGCTGATTCATTGCGCCACACTGTCATCCAGTTCCCTAGGATTCTTCTTAAGCATCCATTTATCTGGCTGTGGTGATGATAGCTGAATTGTAAATCCTTTCAGACTTAAGACCCTGGCTTTGCTCTCTTCCATATTTGTAATTTATACCCTACAGATGGAGTTCTGTGACTCAGTGCCTTTTTGTTCTATGCCATTTAAGCTTATGATGTCAGAAATGTCTAAAGGGATGTATGAAAGTTAAAATGACAAAGAGAACACATTTAGTAGAAGTGGGTGGCAAATCTTATGTTTGTTTCTGAAGTGTTTTCATGGATGATAATGACAATAGATGCTGTTAATAAATCCTTCCTTGGTTCTAAATGTGCTCTAAGAATTTGGTTTTATTTCTGCACAGATAAGTACCATCTAGTATAGCTTTAGGTTATTTAACAATTAATTTAAATAAACTTTAAATTTTCTTTTAAAAGATCAGTGTGGTGATTCAAACCTATAATTCCAGCTCCTGGGAAGCTGAGGCAAGAGGATTGCCATGAGCTTACCTCCTGGGTTACATAATGAGTGTCAGGCCAGCCTGAGCTATACTATGAGACCCTCTCCCCCAAAAATAAGCTTTTGGGTTAATTTTTGAAATTGACACAAAATTTCTATAACTACTTATGAGTCTCAGCATGATACTCCAGTGCATGTATGCAATACCTACTGATCAAATTAAGTTGAGTATCAGATAAACCTTATATTAAATTCCAGGTAGCTCTGCTGATTCACCCTCCTCTTACTAAGGTGTGTCCTCTGCCTTTGCTCTGAATTCCATCTCCTCCTCCTCCTCCTTTCCCAGGAATGAGGTCTTTTTAGACACTTTCCCCCACACTGACCTCCTTACTGTTGTAAGCCTCCAGTCCCCTGCACTTTAGCTCCTTCCATGACTAAAGGTGGGTCGACCCTCACAGCTTTCTCTACTTTTCCTCTGTTTTGCAGTCTAAATCAGTGAATGATTAAAATACAAATGTCTTAATCCATTATGGCATGTAGTCTTTGGCTACAAGTATGGTTAGGAGTTCCAGGGACTAAGAAATGAGGGCAAGGAAGTACAATTTAGTGTAGTAGTCCTAGAGTCTGGTTTGCCAGAGAACTAGCTGGTGTCTTAGTTAGGGTTTCTTACAATTTAGTGCTACAGTTCTGGAATCTGGCTTGCCAGAGTGCTGGTGTCTTAGGGTTTCTATTGGTTGAAGAGGGACCCTACCCAGCAACTCTTATAAAGGAAAACATTTAATTGGGGCTGGTATACATTTCTGAGGTTTAGTCTATTGTCATCATGGTGGGAAGCATGGCAGCACTCAGACAGACATGGTGCTGGAGTTGAGAGTTCTACATCCAGACTGGCAGACAGCAGGAAGACAGTGCCACACTGGACCTGGCCTGAGCATCTGACACTGCAAAACCCACCCCTCAAGTGATACAGTTCCTCCAGCAGACCACACCTCCAATAATGCCACTCCCTATGAGTCAATGGGGGCCATTTTCATTCAAACCCCCACAGCTGCATTAGTTTCGTCTTTCCTGGTGGAACTCTAGAATGTAGTGGAACAGAACAAATCATGACAAGTGGAGATTTGGCAGCAAAATGTCAAGGTCTGAGTATGAGTGAGAAGAGCACAGAACTGATAATGGGTCAGGTTTTTCTTTTTAATAGAGAAAGTATCCTTTTGAAGTATGTGGAAAGTGTGGGGTGTGTTTGTGCATGCCTGTGCTCTTATGTCTGTTTAGCAGAGGTCAGCATTGCTATGTCATCCTCAGGAACTTCTTACTGAATATGGCCCTTGCCATTTTAGCTAGACCTGCTGCCCCAGGGTCTGCCCGATTCTCCTCCCAGCACTGGGGATACAGACAAGCACTCACTCTAACTTTTTACCTGGATGCTGGGGATCTGAGCTCAATTCCTCATGCTTGCCCAGCAAGCACTTTACTCTTCATTTGCCCACTGAGCCATCTTCCCCAGGACAGAAGTCTGTTTATTTACAAGCAGGATATAGAAAGGACCTCCCTCTAATGGACAAGCAGGAAGGTGGCAGGTTTAGAATGAGTTATTCAGTACAATACCATTGTGTAACTTTTTTTCCTCTAATCTATACTTCTAGAATTCTGCTGCCATAACCCAGACTTTCCTCCTCCTTCCTCTTTTTTCTTTTCTGAGACAGGCTTTCTCCGTGTAACAGCCCTGGCTGTCCTGGAACTCAGAGCTGTAGACCAGACTGGCCTTGACCTCATAGAGATCTGCCTGCCTCTGCCTTCTGAGTGCTGCATTAAAGTTGTACGCCGCCACTACCTGGCTCAGACCTGAAGTTTTTGCTCTTTTTAGTGTTTTTCTATCATTATTCTTTTCATCAGCTATCCACATCACAGTAGCAGCTCCCATTCTGTTGACATTTGGAATCCTCACATTTAATTCTCTGCTTCTTGATTTCATTCAGCCTTCTTGATTTCATTCAGCCTTACAGCCAATGGAGTAGAAAAGGTTTGAGTAATGGGTTTCTTTTGTGTATACGGCTGTGAAAATGAACTGGTAACATAGATTCCTTGGGGATAAGTTTTAGTAATAAATTGAAGGAGAAAGGATGGTATCCTGAAAACGGAAGCCACATGGGTTGAACTTCCCTTCCCTTCTCATAGCCTGTGGCCTTTCAGGTTGTATGCTTGTAATAAAGTCAGAAATACTCTCTAGAAGATAGTGCCACTGGTAGTGAAGCAAGGTTTTTATCCTGATGTGAAATCAGGCTTCCTGTCATTGAATAGCAGTGCACCTTTGTTGTGTTGCTTGTGGGTTCTGTTATGGAGATCATGAATGAGTTTTTGTTCTTTGGCTAGAAGTAAATTCTTTGGGGATGAAAAAATGCATTCGATCACTAGCTGAATAAAGGGCATTTAATTGAAAACTTCTCTTTTTTTCCTTTCCAGGTGTTTGGCAACCAGCTGATTCCTCCCAATGCCCAAGTGAAAAAAGCCACGGTCTTTCTCAATCCTGCAGCTTGCAAAGGGTATTTGAGCTTGTGACTTACTGTATTCAGTTTTTTTCTAAAGGCAAAAGACAAAATCACCACAGAGACAGCTGGTTAGACTGTGTAGGACTAGAATGGCTGAGACCAATACTCTACAACAGCAGGAGTTATTCTCAAAGGAGAAGCAACAGTTAACTGTGAGGTAACCATGGCAAACACTAAGGATTTGTATCAGCTTGGGAGTGGTCCTCGTGAGAATGACTGTTCTCCTGCTTTGCATAGTTGTGTTAGTCTGTCGTCATAGACAGCCATGTACAGAGATGACAAGAGCACTGTGGGCTCAGGAGCAGTGTGTTCTCTCCAGAGAAGGGCGCCGTCAGCTGGTCTTGGAGGAGAGTTTCGTTGTTCCCAAAGGAGGGCGGCGCTGCATGTAGAGCAGCATCCTAGGAATAAGAGCCATGTTCTTCAGTAACTGCTGTATAAAGGGATTGTGGGGAAAGTATGACAAATAGCTGGACCTTTGTTTAAAATGTTGTATTTCTTGGTTAGTTTATTGTATACATTGAAATGTAGGGGTACTATGAAGGCAAGGAGAGGGTGTGGAGGAACTCAAACTATCATAAGTGAGGTGAAAAGCCATAAGCAGAAAAAAGAAAGTTTATAGTGCCAGTTAGGTAGTTGGCCATTAAAAATTTTTTATTTTAGCCGGGCGTGGGTGGCACCCGCCTTTAATCCCAGCACTCAGGAGGCAGAAGCAGGTGGATCTCTGTGAGTTCGAGGCCAGCCTGGTCTCCAGAGCAAGTGCCAGGATAGGCTCCAAAGCTACACAGAGAAACCCTGTCTCGAAAAAAAAAAAAATTAAAACTTACTTTCTAAAAAATAGAAGGAAAGAATTGAAGAAGAAAATGATACCTATTATTGTCCCAGTGTCTAGATCAATTGTGTTTTCTAGGTTTAAGTAATTTGTGAATATGTATTAGGTTAGATGCTATAAAACTGAAGTCACACAACATCGATAATGACTAGTTGGGGCCAGATTTTAAGTGTACAGGCACTGTTTTCTGGATCAAAAAGAAGCAAGAACCCCAAATCAGTTTGGGGGGAACATAGCATCCTTTGGGGAGGCTTGAGCTCGACCTCACAGTAAGGGGTTACTGACCTCTTTTGTAAATTGTGCCTGATTATAAAGATTAACCTTGCTTAATGGACTATTGCTAGGCTTGGTTAAAGCCACTCCCCTCATCAACAAACACCAATTTCCATATAAGTAATAAACCATATTGACAAGTTCTTAAACAGCACAGCTAAAATACTCAGTCACTGTCACCTGGAGAAGGCAACAGAGAGTTCTGCGTGTGTCTGTGTATTATTCTGCTTCTAGAATATTCTGAGTTACTCAGGCTCTTAAATCCTCAGTTTACTGAACTATAAAACTGAACAACAAAACAGACACAAAATACAAACCCTAAGAACTATTATGTAGAATACAGACGTCTCTTGTAGTGTTTTGAATGGGACAGTGCTTTTGAGTATTGTTTACAGAAAGTTCTGGAGGTTTGCTGCTGCTCTCAGAGAGTAGCTGGGCTCAGAACATTCTCCATTTTGCACTCTCGCTCTAACCAAGGATTCTGACGAGTCCCCTTTCTCCTTCCTTTAAAGGCAGCTATTTGTTGTGCTTGTCCTTCCAAAATCTTCAGTTTCTGGTGACAAGGTCTTGGCAGTTTTCCTAGGATAGAACTGATTATTGTTTAAGGTCTTGCTTCCTTAGAAGCTTTGTGGTCATGGGGTTCTTGTTGTTGCATTGGATGCAGGCACATGTGAGCACACGCATGTAGAAGCCCAAGGTGGATGTGGGGGATCACCTTCAGTTGCTCCTCCATCTTATTCATTGAGGCAAGGTCTCTCAGTCAAACTCAGAGCTTGTCGATAAGGCTGCAGTCCCTAACCAGCTTGCTCTGGGAATCCCCCGCCCTCTGTCCCTAGCTGGCCATCACACCCACTGGGCTCTTAATGTGGGTTTCAGGGATCAGAACTCTTTTTTTTTTTCTTTTTTAAATTTTTATTTGAATTAGAAACAAGATTGTTTTACATGTCAATCCCAGTTCCCTCTCCCTCCCCTCCTCCCCCCCCAACCCCAATTAAAACCCTACCTATCACATATCGTTTCTGCTCCCCAGGGAGGCTGAGGCCTTCCATAGGGGGTCATCAGAGTCTATAGTATCCTCTGGGATAGGGCCTAGGCCCACCCCCATGTGTCTTAGCTCAGGGAGTACTCCTCTATGTGGATTGGGCTCCCAAAGTCCACACCTATGCTAGGGATAAGTACTGAATTATTACAGGAGGTCCCATAGATTTCTGAGGTTTTGTCACTGAAACCCATGTTCCTGGGGTCTGGATCAGTCCCATGCTGGTTTCTCAGCTATCGGTCTGGGGTCCATGACCTCCCCGGTGTTCAGTTCAGCTGTTTCTGTGGGTTTCACCAGCCTGGTCTGGACCCCTTTGCCCATCACTCCTTCTCTGCAACTGGATTCCAGTTCAGTTCAGTGATTAGTTGTGGGTGTCTGCTTCTACTTCCACCAGCTGCTGAATGAGGTCTATAGGACCTCATTATAAGTTAGTCATCAATCTTATTATCAGGGGAGGGCATTTAAGGTAGCCTCTTCTCTGTTGCTTAGATTGTTAGTTGGTGTTATCTTTGTAGCTCTCCAGACATTTCCCTACTGCCTGATTTCTCTGTAAACCTAAAATGTCCTGCCTGATTTCTCTGTAAACTTAATAAATCTTCATCTATTATGGTATCTCCTTTCTTGTTATCTTCTATTCTTCCCCTGACTCAACCTTTCTGCTCCCTCATGTCCTCCTCACCCCTCCTCTTCTCCCCTTCTCCTTCTCTTAGCTCTCTCTCCCCTCCCCCCATGCTCGCAATTTACTCAGGAGATCTTGTCCCTTGCCCCGTCTCCAGGGGACCATGTATGTCTCTCTTAAGGTCCTCCTTGTTTCCTAGCTTCTCTGGCAGTGTGGATTGTAGGCTGGTAATCCTTTACTCTGTGTCTAAAATCCACATATGAGTGAGTACATATCATGTATGTCTTTTTGTGATTGGGTTACCTTGCTCAGAATGGTTTCTTCTAGTTCCGTCCGTTTTCCTGCAAATTTCAAGATTTCATTGTTTTTTTTCCCACTGAGTAGTACTCCATTGTGTAAATGTACCACATTTTCTCTATCCATTCTTCAGTTGAAGGGCATCGGGGCTGCTTCCAGGTTCTGGCTATTACAAATAGTGCTGCTATGAACATCGTTGAACAGATGTCCTTGTTGTATGAATGAGCATCTTTTGGGTATATGCCGAAGAGCGGAATTGCTGGATCTTGTGGTAGATTGATTCTCAGGGATCAGAACTCTTAAGTCTTTACACTTGAGGTTGTTCAGCCAGCCTTAGCCACTGAGCCATCACTCCAGCTCCCTCCTATTTACATTTTTAAACTTAAAGAAGATTCTTGTTTTCAAGTGCAATACTTTATCTAAAGGCAGGTTAAGATGCTGCCAAAGATGGCCTTTCCTGAGTGCATTGCTTCCTGTAACACCAAGGTGGATCCCTACACGGGTGGAGGACATGATGCTCTGAAACTCTCCAGCACCTTTTGTTTTAAAGCTTTTACTATTTAATGGCACTGTTTTTTGTTATCCTGGCCATACGCTAACACAATGTATAATTTATTGTGCAGCTATCTCATTATGTAGGACTGGTTTAAAACTTCAGGAGAACCTTAAGAAATGAGATAACTGTGTTTAGGGTTAATAAATAATACATTAAAGAGTAATTATCTTGTGTGGTGCCTGAGTCTAGAAATGGCTGTAAGTACATAAAGTTTTTATTCAGGCCTGGTGCTACTGCACCCTTAATTATGTAATGAATAATGTATTTCTTACTGGCAACACTTGGTTTTCAATCTGAAGAAAAGTCTTTGCTTGTATTTTAGAGATTTTTGAACCTGTGGCATCACACAAAGATGTGAACAAACCACGAATGTTGAAATCACTTTTCTGAAACTCACAGGAGGCTACAGATTTGTTATGATTGATACAACAGATTGAGACTTCGTCAAAATTTTGCTTTTAGGAAACAGATCTGATCCCCTCCCAGCTGTTCTGTTCTTCTCATCCAGCAGTAAAGGCATTCCTTACGATGTCCCTAGCTTCACCTTTTATCATGGTGCAGGGATGGCGAAGGGGAAAGAGGGAATTTATTTCCGCATAGCTTTTCATTCTGATAATTATTCAAGCATCAGGTGGCAAATATTGAACTTGCTTACGTTCCCAGTTAGGATCTTGATGGTTCTTGTGGAATCTCAAAAGTGCAATCTTTTCCGTTTCCATCATATTTCCTGGTAAGTAAGTAATGTTCCTTTTCGTGTGCCATTTTGTGGCTATAGCTTTCAGTAAAGATGGTGAATTTGTTCTTTGTTCAGCTCTTAAGTACTGCTTGTTAGCTGCCTTTGTATTTCCTATATAAATATCTTTAAAAAAGGTAAAGCATACATCACTGGTTTTTAAGGAAACTATTTTAGGAAAAGAGCTAAGTAAATATGTATGTAGAAGTTAGATGTTTTAATATTGTTTGTATGTGTGTGTGATAGTTGAAAATACCAGGGTAAAAGACAGGCCAGCTAGTTTATATATTTTGACATTTATTTGAATCAACTCCTTTTTGCTACTTCTTCCTTTGATCCCTCGACCGTTTTTGAATTTTGACCTGAATTGGACTGGAGCGCACTAACGGAATGATGTTGATGAGAAATGCACAAACCCATCCAAAGGCTGCTTAATCATTTCCCTAATTGTAAGATGTCACAATCGTGTTTGCCTTTCCTCAGAATCTACCTCGTTCATTTTTATCCTAATCCATTAGATACTTAGTAAGTACCATTGAAATACCCCATCCTAGAAGTTGGAGGTTCAAGAATTACTAAGAACTGGCGTCTATTTTTGCAAGCTTCTTATCTAGTCCTAAAGACACTTTTGAAAGCTATCCTCCTCCTGTTGAAAATGTTTCTGATGGACAGGTGTTATCAAGTGGTAGAGGAACAGAGCTGCTGTGCTTGGGAGAGGTGCACCAGCTCCTCATTACTTATCCTTGTTAGTCATCTATCCTAACAACAGATACCTTTGACTTCCTGTCCTGCTATAAATTCAGCTGTCATGAAAACACTCTTACTCTCTGTCTACAACTTTAAAGATTTGGGATGACCCCTAGTGTTTAAACTCTTACAACAATGTGTCTCTTCTCAGAAGATGATACTGATTAGTAAAGGATAAGTGAATCCGTTTTCTTCTCCTGGGGCATGAATAATGTTACAGTAAATACTTCTACTCCCTTTGTTAGAATCTAAGTAAATTACAGTAGCACGTGTGTGCTTTGCAAGTGAGTCCTGTAGACAAGCCCTGTTTCTGCCCTATCTGCTGCTCTGCCGGACCTGGCATTGGGAATCCTGAGTGGGTCAGGCTCTGTTGTTTTGACTGCTTCTTGTTTGTCTAGAGGATGTAGCATCCCAAAGTACACAAACTGACTGAATGAGACAAGAGACAAACTCTTTTTCTATCTAGGGTAACTCACTGCTGAGCTTCCTATATTTGAACAAATTAAGTCTGCGTTCTCTGGGGCACGTGGTTACATTTTTTATTCCCAGTTTGAGAATATGTCTTAAAATAATTGTGTTTTCTTTTCCTTTTGTCTACAGTAAAGCCAGAACTCTATTTGAAAAAAATGCTGCCCCAATTTTACACCTATCTGGCATGGATGTGACTGTTGTCAAGGTGAGAACGACTCCTGAGTCTTTATTTGCACAAGACCACCACTTCTGATACATCCTTTGCTCTTACCTTCAAAACAGAATTCAGGTTTTCATTGAAGACAAGAAGAAAGTCAGTGTTGTGTCTTGTTCTATTAATCACTCAAAGAAGTTTTGTTTTCTCCTGACATTGCTGCTTTTCATTTCAGCATGAGCCCACATGGGTGTGTTGAGCATGGGCTCCCACGGGTGCATGGAGACCCTGATACTTTCCATCTGAGAGGCAGCAGATGGAGTTATCTCTTAGTTGTCAGAGTGAGGTCCCAAAAATACAAAGCCCTCTTGTTTGAGTGGTTTAATTTCTTGGTAGTTCAACTAGCAGGGGAACATTTTCTTTCTTGTAAAAAATTGTGACTAGGAATTCTAAAAAGTAAATCATTAGAGTTTTTGAGATTTTGGGTAAGAAGAAAAAAGGACAAAGTAAGTTAGAAGGAATTGTTAATTTTAGACAATGTCTCAGGTTTCTATTTTGGTGAACTTCAAGTGGCATACGTGTGTGTGTGGGGGGGGTGCATTTAGTCAAACCAGCCTTCTGCTTTATTTATTTTTAATTGATTAAAGAAAACTGTGTGTATATACAAGCACTGCATACATACCCAGTATCCACAGAAACCAGAAGAGAATATCATGTTCCCTGGAATTGGAGGTATAGACACTTGTAAGCCTCTGTATTGGTGCTGGGACTGAAAGCCAGATTTGCTGGAAGAGCAGTGAGTGCACTTAACTGCTGAGCCCTCTCTTTAGCCCCGCCCCTGCACTGTTTTAAACCTGTGTTTACTTCTTTTTAAGTTATTTTTTGAAATTACAAGATAATTGCATCAATTTCCCCTTCATTTCCTCTCTCTAGACCTTCCCATATACTCCCCCTTGCTAAAATGCTGTTTTTAATAATATTTTATTGATTCTTTGAGAATTTCATACAAATTATGTATTTTGATAATTCTCATCCCCCACTCCTCCTCCATCTCATCTCAGATCTGTCCCCCAACTGTACCCCCTGATTCCCCAGCCCCTCCTAACTTTATGACTGGAGTGTAGTGGACCCACCAGATAAGAAAACTTATCTCTTCCCTCCTGAGAAGAGAGTTGTTACTAGCTCCTTAGTAGTGGCAGCCCCTAAGCCCCTCTCTTCTCCATCCTAGAATGACTGATGCTCATCTATTTCTAAATTACACTTTGAGTATCTCATAGAGATTAGAGAAGTTCATGTAGTATAATTTGCCATGCAGTTTTGAATTCTCTTTTCTAACTTGTCAGGCTTGATCTTGCAGTTGCTTGCCTTTGGGGGCTAGGATAAAGGAGAAAACATTTTCATGAGCATCTATAATGTGCCATAGTTGTAAGTATGAGAGCCCTGAGGGTGATCATGTAAGATCAAATAATAGTTCCTTATGATTTGATGAAACTCTTGGATAAAACTGTGGGCCTGGAGCTTTGCTAAAGGCTGCATATTAGGCTTCTTAAATAGTACTACAAGTACATAAATCCTGTTTCTCTTTGGCAGTATAGATTCTTCAAGGAATTTGTTCCTCTTACTTGGTTTTCACATTAGTTGGTATCAAGTTGTTTATAATGTCTTCTTTGTGATGTCACATTTCACCCTACACCTTGGCTGTGCCTGCTTTGTTGTATTGCTGCCACCCTGCCCTGTCCCGCCCCACCCCACCCAGTAGTCCTCAATTTAATTAGTTCTTGCTAAAGACTGTTTGCCTGTTGATCTCACTGACAGGGTTGTTTCATGTCTGATCTTTCCTTAAGAATTATTTCCTTTTTTCTTTAAAAAATATTCACTTTTTTTTTTTTTTGCTGTTCTCTGTTATGACATTTTCATTGGTTTATTTCCCTCCGACTGTGTGTATTTAAATCTGTGAACTCTGTTGCTTCATTGTGTCCTATCACTTTTAATGCAGTTCTCATTATCATTTCTAACTATTTTCTCATCTCTATCATGATTTTTGCTTAACCTGTGAGCTATTTAATTTCTAAATCTAAAGTTTTTCTAGGTACCATTTTGTTAATGATTTCTGAATTAACTATATCATCAAGAAAAATTCTAGCAATTTGGGGATTTTAAAGCTTATTGGGATTTGTCTTTATGTCTAGATTGAATAGTCTGTTTTTATAAGTGTTCTGTGTGTGCCAAAAAGTAATTCGTATCAACTACTGGAAATTGTGTTTTGTTTATGACCTACAAACCAAATCTTTTCATTGTGAACTGCAAATCTTCTCTTTCCCTCCTGTTTTTTTGCTTTTATTGATAATAACTATGTTAAACTGTCCTGTCAGGGGAGTTGCAAATCTTCTAGCAGGTCTGTGCATTTACCCATTTCTATAGATAATTTTATCTTTTTTTTATCTTTGTATCTTGAGATGATTAACTCTCAAAGAATGAATACAAGATACTTTAGACAGTTTGACTCATAGATGCTTGCTATAAGTGATGCTATGTTTTGGATGTGAACTTTAGCCTCTAATAACTGAGCCCTCTCTCCTGCCCAGCTGCCTTACTCACGAGTTAGGTTGATGAGACTGTGGCCCATGGGGTCTCCACCAAGCATCCTCACATGGTAGCTGAGTTCTCTGAAATAAATAAAACACTAATGCATTTGACTTCTAAATACTTAAATATATATGTTTTAATAAGGAAGGACATTTTCCATTGTAACTATAATGATATCTTCAGACCCAACAAATTTAACCATTCCTTAATACCAAAGGCCTATGGCCGTTTGTTTAGTATTTTGTAATTTTTCCAATTTAAGATATGCAGAAATTATATATAAATATTAGCATATTATTTATGTTACATATGCAGAAAATAGGTATTAGATTTAAATCTTAGTAGAAATATTAATATTTTCTTACAGTTCAATTGAAATTATTAGTCTTTGAAAGGTTAATTTCTTATCTTTTAAATTTTATTTAGAAACAATTTCAAATTTGCAAAGAATTACAAAAACAATACAAATATACATATATATATATGTATATATATATATATATATATACACTACTAACATTTTACTGTGTTTGCACATAACTTCTCTTTATATAAATAAGCATGTAGTTATATAATATACATAGGCGTTTCTGTGTAGAGCTTATGGATGATGACTTAGGGTTTACTTTTGCTGTGAAAAGGCACCATGACTGCTCATAAAGTAAACATTTAATTGAGGGTGGCTGGCTTACAGTTTCAGAGGTCCAGTCCATTATCATCATGAAGGGGAGCATGGCAGCATGCAGGCGACGTGGTGCTGGAACAGAGAGTCCTGCATATTGACTCAGAGGCAACAAAAAGTCGACTGACTGTCACACTGAATGAAGCTTAAGAAAAAGACCTCAAAGCCACAGTGACACACTTCCTCCAACAAGGCCACACTTCCTAATAGTGCCACTCCCTTTGGGGGCCATTTTCTTTCAAACAACCACAGATAAATGAAATCATTGATTCTCTAATGGATGAATTCATTTTTAGGCTCCTTTCCCTCCCTGGAAATCAGGGTATGGAGCTCAAGGTTCTAATGCTTAAATCATCTGTTTGCATCTCTGGTGACCAGCTCCAATCCCAAAGCCATCCAGGGGTCCTCCTAAAGTTAAGTCTATAGGACATACTCTGGAATGCTTGAGGGGCGCTTCATTTAAATAACAACACCATTTCCATGGATCCCCGGAGCTCTATGCTAGGAACAGGGCACAAAGACCAGATATTTCAAATTATACTACAGGTGTTTTAGCCATCTGATAGTTAAGTATTTGATTTTTGCCTGCTAGTATGTTTAGTGTATTTTGAATTGGAGGTAATATTTCTATTTTATTTGCTTTCTTCCCTTTAAGCTTTTAGCATTTTTCTTCAGGGCTGTACATATCAATGCAAACCCTGGTGGTGGCTGAAATGTTCATTGAAGTGTATGCATATATCTGAGATGAACATTCTTAGTAAAAATGGGAAGGAGGGGTGCTCTTTTGTGTTTCACAATGTATCTTCATTTTTATGGACCATCACAGCAAAACAATAATAATCTCTACTCACTTTTAACACAGTACCAGTGGCAAACACTTACTTGTCTAGCTGTTTTAAATTCTACTGTGTAGCAGTAGTACAGGAAGCCATGATTGCCCTCCCTTGATACATGGAAATTCATTGATAAGGAAATTAAGAGCCAATGGGTTTAAGGCCACTTAGCTAAAAAGTAGCAGAGCTGAGATTGACGGTAGGTCTCTTGGGCTCTGAAATCTGTGCTCTCTCATTTCATCACATCTACATTCGGATATGCACTTGACTTCCTGCCTTCAGATGAAAAGCAGTGTGTGAACAATGTAATGAGCCCTTTGGCTGGTTAGCTGTAACTAAAACAAATTATTGGCCTTGAATTTTATTTATTTATTTTTATTTTTATTATTATTATTATTATTAGTTCTAGTTAGGGAACAAGCTTATTTCAAGTCCCTTCTCCCTCTCCCTCCCCTAACCCCAAACTTCCTCCCCCACCCCATCCACCCACCACTCCCCAGGCAGGGTAGGGCCCTCAACCGGGGCTCTGCAACGTCCACCAAATCTTCCTGTGCTGGTCCTGGGCCCTTCCCCATGTGTCCAGAGCCAGAGTGTAACCCTTCACGTGGGATGGGCT